TAAACATGTATGATATAGATAGTGTAAATTCAAGTCAGTTAGTATCATAAGAAATATTAATTGAGAATTATATAAGGAAAAACTATTGATTGATTAGAGAGGTTATTGATTTAAGAGATCATAATATTCTTCACTTTAATTAATTAGCATTTAATAGTAACAGGAAAGTTTTCGATATTATAGTTGCAAATGTGAGATTCAATTTAAATGTATACTTTTATTGGTTTAATATAAATATATAAATGATCGTTAAGTTTGTTGATAAGGGCATAAAAAAGATATTCATATTTTCTTATTAATGTAAGCGATAACTTTTATGCTTCTAAATAGTTTTTGATTACTTCTAAATTTCAAACCTAAAATTAAACAAAAGATACTTTTAATCCATTCACTCTCTTATAATAAATGCAAAATAATAATTAGCAATTAGTTCAAAAATAATAAAAAACAAATTTTGAATTTTGAAATTACAAAAACAATTAATTAGAAAGCGAAAAAAATAAAAAGAAATGTAATTTATTGTAAAAAATTTAATTAATCATTTAATTTGTCATTAAAAAAAATTTTGACAAAATTTTGTAAAAAACAAAATTAACGGAAATATATTAAATGGCAGAAATGAGAGTACCAATCCCAATATTAAAATCCCAATTATAAGTATTGTTTACACTCAATCCCAAATTGTAAACTAATTATAAGTATTGTTTACACTCTTTGTTAAATTGAATTTTCTGCTTAAAATAAATTAGTGAAAAAGTTTTTTAAAATTAACACTAATAATAATATACGCGAGATTATTTAACCATTAACCATTTTGCCTAATTTCATTATAATTTTTTTGCCCTCTCTCTCTCTCTCTTTCTCTCTCTCTCTCTCTTTCTATTTGAACTTTAGCTTATATTAACTGTTGAAATGAATTAAAAAATGAAGAAATTGCAAACAAATATACTTACTTACAACATAAAGAGAATGAAATTTAACAAATTATACAACTTCATCTTCCAAACATTCTTCAATGTGAAGAGGTGTCATTTGCCTTCTCTCTCTCTCTCTCTCTCTCTCTGTCATGGGTAACCTCTGGCATTCGGTTTTTTTTTTGTGGTTTTCTTTTTGCAAAAACCGCAACGGCTGGCGGTATGATGAAAAGGAATTATAATGGAAGGTAGTGGTTAGATGAAAGGGAAATTTTGAAAATTTTTCAAGAAACAAACGATAATTTTTTAGCGCCATTTTGTCATATATATATATATATATATATATCTTTGAAATCTATGCGAATAAATTGTGTAAATAGAATTATTATACGTAATAGTTAGAATTGAGATAGTTAGGAATAGTTAAGTTATGTGAGAAAAGTATTTTAAATGTTTATTAATTGATATCAACATTGATTAATAATGAATAAATTGTCGAAAATTTTTTCATCAATTTAATTGTTGATTTTAATTAAAACAAGTTTATAAATTATTATTTAGAGAAATAAATAACTTAAAGGATTTTAATTCCACATCCTTATAATGTGGAAAACATAGAAATTGAAATGCTATATAAACTAGGAGAAATGCAGAAGAGTGAAAATAATGATGAAAAGGAAGATTGATATATGCTTTAAAAGGAATTCAGTAAATTAGGATTTTAGAATTGTTTCAATAATTTAAGTGACATAAAGAAGTACACTTATAATCTTTAATAACTTATACTGAGTTAAGGAGGATATTACTAAGTGTAATGTTGCATTATTTTACTTTTGTAAATCTTTTAAAAGAATAATAAAAATTTAATTGTTTTAGTAATTATAAAAAATTAATAGAAAAAAAAGAGAAATTTAACAAAATTAAAAAGTGATGAAAATTTTGGAATTTAAAACGAGTCATTTCTGTTTCGAATAATTTTGAACACAAAACGTTTTTACTTTTTCGTTCCTTTTTTAAATATGAACTTTTCGGTGAATTTCTTTGAAATTATTATCAAAGCCCATGCATTTGGTTTAAATCTATATCAGGTCAATAAATCGAGCTCATAAAATTCTCAACGGGTTACTGCCTGCTGCTGCTTACTAACTTGCAGCTGTTCATGCCGAAAAAGGTGAAAAATTGAGGAAAAAGAGAAATTTTCATTTAATATCTGACCTTTTTGACCTTTTTAATATAAATTCGTTTTTTTTATTAGCTAATTAATTTGTGGATAACGACGAACGATTGACTTGTTACATGGCAAGATAGCAATAATAAGTAAGCATTTTCTTTTCAATATCGAATTGTTTTGTGATTATAATTATTTGCTACAACGTCGACGAAGAGTCATAAAAGTCTAATGCTACTGAACGCTGTTGCCAATGACCTTTGTTTTTACGATCATTATTTATATGATCATAAAATTGGTTTGAAAATTTTTCAAGAAATCCGTTCTCTTCCAAGACATTTGTCTAGAAAAATTTCCCTCCTTTCGTCTATTTTAAACGTTTTATTATATTTAAGTTTAATTTTTATAAAATTTTAAAAATATAATTTTTTTTTTGATTAATATCAATTTGGATATTAGCTTCGCTTTAGGCCCTATACGATTGTTGCCAGCTTTTTCGGAATAATCTTCTTCATTGCTAATCATTATTGGGAAGTTATTGCTTTAGCTTCTAAATGCTATCGAATAATAAATCAGTTTTATTGTTGAAAAGGAAATGGTGAATTTAATTGTTTAAATTTTGGGATTAAAACTAAGAGTGAAAGTAAGATAGTGAATTTGGAACGTCAATATTTTTTTGTCTAGTAGAAGCATTAAATTTAATTGCTTAAAATTTCAAGACCGGAACTAAAAGTAAAATTAAAATCATAGATTGCAATGTTAACATTATTAGATCACTGTCAAATATCAACATATAAACTTTTAGGAAAAAAAAATCTTAAAGAATTTTTCAGGTACCATTAATATAGGAAGACTGTTATTCTCTTTTCAGATTTAAAAAGCAAATAAAGGTGCAAGCAAAGTGGTTATGATCTTAATCATTAATATTTTGCAAATTATGTAAGAGAGTTAATTGTTGAACAATTAACTCCCTTACATATACCTGAAAATGTTTTTGGGTGGACAGTAAATTAGATTTCGTTTTCTTTCTTAAAATTTTTTTACCTAACAAATTCCAGAATCGATTTCAATCTTTACATTTCCTGTTTTATTTTTCAATTAATTTTTACTCTTTGTCGATAAGTAAGCAAAAAAGACTTTGCATAGATCCGTTGGATCAAAATCATCCAAATGATAGATAATTTATAGGTTAAAGTTCAAAGGTTGAAAAGATACAGAAATATATTTTACTTTGAAAAGCCAAAAACAAAAAGTATACTAAAAGGCAATGATTAATAAAATTTGAAAGAAGTAGCATTATTAGTTCAAGACAAAATTGCAAAATTGTTATTTATATCTTGAAATTATATTTCAATTTAAAGTATAGCAAGAATTGATTACAAATATCAGTTGTGATAAGTTGGAATAGAATACAATTATGGTAGTTTATTGGAGGATAATGTTGCATGTTAATATTATAACAGAAAATTATTCACCTTTATCAACTTAAATTGGATAATTATTTGATTAGAATTGCATTGATATAAAAGTATCCGATTGTTTTCATAAATATTTTTATGAAGTGAAATTCAAAAAAATAATTTCAAATTTAAAACGGAAAACTTTCAACATTTTTATTTAACTTCCAGAAAATTTCACTCGAATTATATATTTTATTATTAAATTAATCTTTTGTTAAATCATATAAACAAAAATCTAATAGTAAGCGAAATAATTATGCGATAAGGAAGTATAAGTTGAAATAATTTAAATTTCCTATAAGTTTGAACTAACTATAAATAATATTTTCTTATGATGATTCATTGAGGAAACGATTTATTAAGAGTTCTTGAATAATTCCGAAAGCAAACTTGATCATCTGATATTAACCAATCAGGAAAGCAAGAAAATAGAATAGCAACTTGTGAAAAGGCCTAATTTACATTATTGACTATTACCGTACATCTATTTTGTCATATTATTTACATTATTCATTCATTATTCTTTCCAATAAAATTGATCGTTTAAATTATATCAAAAATTAAAATTTGCATATTTTGCATAATTCAATTTTTTTCATTTTATATAGCAAAATTTCAAAATTCTGATTTATTGATCCCAAATAATGATAAAATGTGTATTTTCAAATTTCATAATTTTGTAATTTTACAAATGATTGGACAGATCGAATTGATTTTAAATTCTAATTTTAAATTCTGATTTAAATTCAGTGAGAATAAATTAATTCCAACGTAGTAAAATTAACTCTTCATCACATTGTTTAAAATGCATAGAAAAGTTATCATATTATCAGGAAGAAAAAAACTTAGGTTAAAAATTATTTCTAACTGTTCTACTTCATCTATCATACAAGTATCAAAAGAAAAAGTTTCGTAGTTGTTAGCTGAAATTTAAAGTATTGCTTAAAATACTATGGTTGTCATTATTAATTAGTTTCTGTATTTCAAACTCTACAATTTTTACATATTTGTAGTTTCCTCCTCCTTAATATAATACATTTTGTAATGTTAGTTAATAACGGTAACATTGAAGGTATTAGAAGTTATTAAGAATTTTTGAAAATTATCAAATAAAACGTTACAATTTAAATTTCAGAAAATATCATTATCATCATCATCATCATACGGTATATTGTTTTGAGGAAGCTTAAATTCTTGGACACCGTATTTTCAATGTTATTCATCATTCTAACAGCTTAACAGACATAATCAATTTATACCACTTTAAAATTCAAAACTGATACATAATTGATTGTTAGTAATTAAATTGAAACTACCAGTTGTTGAAGATCGATTTAAGAAGAATATTATATTATTAGATTGGCGCAGAAATGTTTCGATTATTAGCAACTGCTGCTTAAAATTTTAATTCAAGCGTATTTTAGAATTTGCAAAGAAGTTATAGTAAAATTAGTTTGACTAGCAAAGAAAAGAAAATGGTCCAGGTGACATTTTAGAACGTCCGGAATTGTCAGAAAATGGCCCAGGTGACATTTTAGGACGTCCGAAATTGTCAGAAAATGGCCCAGGTGACATTTTAGAACGTCCGGAATTATCAGTCAGCTTCTCCTTCTTATCTCTAAGACTGAAAAACGGAAAAACGATGAGGATTGTTTTTCTTGATGCGTCATTTTTTTTCACATTTAATTTCATTACCCCTTTATTTCGTGCTCGCTTTTAAAATATATATATACGCACACACAGACACATACCAATTTTCTCTTTGATGTTTGCCGATTTACACAGACACACACACACACACACACACACACATACACACTCACAGAAGGATTTACCATCCTGATACCCCGAAGTGTTATCGATGTTCTAAATGCGGTCCACGCTACTTAATCGTATAAAAACGTTTCAATTACTACTCCTTCGCCTCCCATCCTTAATTGTATTTTACACCTGTTTTCAATTTCGCTAAATTAATGGGAAGTAGCATATTTATTCCTATCTGATTGTCCGATACTTGGATTAGGGGAAAAAAATAGAACGGAGGAGAATTTAATGATCTTATCATCAATACATTGTTGTTTCGTTAAGGTAAATGTGATAAGTAATTTCGCATTATTCTTTTTCAAAAAAAAAAGGCTATTACTATTATTTTTAGTTAATTATTATTTATGTTTCGTAGATTTTACTATTTTAGGCTTATTTTTGAAAATACATCTATTTGGGGCAAAATGAAAGAGAGAAATTTATGAAATTAATTCCGATTAAATGATCAGCAAAATAATTTCATTTAATAATTACCTTTTTTTGAAGCATAAATTTGGGAAGACAATTGTCAATTTGTTGAATAATGAAAAATGAACATACGCAATTTTTTAAAAAGTTAATGGAAAAAATTAATTTATATATGTTAAGAAATGTTTTGCATTAAACGTTAATTAGCTATATAAACTTTTAGGATAAATATTTAATTAATTAAATTTTGAAAAAGTTTTGCTAGTGTTCTCAGTAAATGATAATTGGAAAAATTAAAGCTTTGCAAATTTAAGAAGTGAACAATAGAATGAAAAACTGATAATGTATTAAATATCAAATTTCAAATTATATTTCAAATTTCAAATTAGATTCATCTTAAACCATACAACTTGCCATGAAGAATATTTTCCTAGAGAATGAGAATTCTTCTTTCTTTGAATTCTTCCGTATCCGTCAAAATTCTCCTAATTAATTAATTCCTCTTAATATGATCACCTCATTTGGCCCTTTCTCATTACTGCTATGATCGATTGATTACCTATCTAAATTATCCTTTAAAATATGTCACTTTTATCCTACACCAGATAACTTAAATAGCCAAGCTAACTAAGCCTATAATTGTTAAACAGTTAGCCATAAATGATTCCGTAAAATTTTAACTCCTTTTATTAAAATTAAAGAATTTGCGATTGAAATGCAAATGCATGCATGCAGCAGAGCATGCAGCAAATATGTTCTAAAAAAATGGAGCAAAAGTTAAAGAGTAACTAAGAGAAGAATATTGTTTGAAATGTTTTACCGTGATTTATATCCACATTATGGCCCAAAGCAATAGTCCCTCGATTTCTACTATCCTTTCATACTTTCCCAATCCACTAATATTATCGAGCTCCCTTTCTTCCCATACCTTACCCCTTAGATTGCCATTTATACAGCCTTGCCTTCATTAAAATTGCCCATTTTCCTATTTCATATATTTATAAGCAAAAGCAAAGGTTTCTTTCATTTCACTTTATTTTTACTAACTTTTATTTACCTGAAAAATTATACCTCTTCTTAAATTCTTACATGAAACTTTCATATTATTGCATTTATGCAATACCATGGTAAAGTTGAAAGTTCAACATTATTAAATTGATAAAATAGCTTTATTAATTAGGATAATTTAAGATTTTCTTATAATTCTATCAACTTTTTTTCAACTTTCACATACCTTTATACGGAATTTATTTTTTTACAATATTCTCAATGTATTTTTACACTTAATTAATTAAATTTAATTTAATCTCTTTTTTTGAATAACTAAATTGAGGCTTAGTAGTTTATTTAAATTTATCAAAATTATGCATATCATCATCCTATCCATTTGATAAATAATCATTTTAACAGTTTAAGATTTAAAATTCGTATATAATTGCTTCTATGAGATATTCATAGATTTGCAATCGTATCTGTTAATTAAAATACTTCAACTTCTAAGAGAACCTGTATATACTCGGAAAAATTTATGTTGTTAATGGAAATGAGAAATTAGGGTACACACACACACACACACACACACACACACACACACACACACACACACACACACACACACATACTGTGATATATGGCATATTTAATGTCATAAAAGCAATTAGAAGAAAAGAAAGGAGGATATCGACGAAAATTGAACCAATACCTCACAAAATTTTCTTCCGTATCTTAATCGTATAAGAAAAAAATGAGAAGAAAAATTTTTTTTGTAATAGATCATTACACGATATCATTGAAACAAAACAAATTTTCAACCTTTTGATTTAAATTTTAAGCCATTTTTAAATTTTGCTTTTTTTAAATAAAATTTTTCCTATTTGAATAAATAAGTTATTGTTTTGTTATCTTTCATTAGCTATTAATTTTAATTAATTGTAAAATATTAAATGAATGAATTACGATGAAATTACGATAATTATAAGTAATCACTTTTGAATTTTGCATTCATTAATTCGATTTATTGAAACATTGCTGTTTTAGAACTCTAAATAATTCCATCTATGGTCTTATTTTATTTCATCTAATTCATTTGATTTTAAAATAACATTTTCATTCTATTATATTACTAACAAGTTTATGCATATCGTATATCGTATAACTGATAGATTTCAATGATAACAATTTTGATAATGATATAATTTAATACTTACAGGAAGCGAAAAAAAAAACAACGGAAAATATTATTTTAAAACAATATTTTAATTATTATACTACTAACGAAATTTATCAGTTATATGCGATAGTTATATCAGTTATATACGATATGCAATTTCAATTGCATTATTGAAAAATTAACTTCACCTTATAATCTCATTGTATATTTGTAATAGTTTAGGCTAACTGTTTGATATTTCAAATAAGAGTTTCGGTGAGGATAATCAATTGATAACTTTGTGATCGTTATTAAACTAATTAATATCACCATTGTTCAATGAGTGAAGAAAGAGAAGTATGATATTTGATACAATTATAATTATTATTTAATTCTACTAATTACATATCTTAATTTTGCAATTTTGCATGCTAACTTTTTACTAGAGTTAGTTGCAAACATTTTGAAGCAACATTATAAAAGTTTTTAATTAAAATAATACAAAACATTCTTAGATAATAATTTTGATAATTAACAAAAAAGAAGTTACGAATTATTCTTAAACAGCCTATTATCAATGATAAGAAAATCTAACTGATGACATATGTGGTGACATTTGCAAGTTTGTTAAGTTTGATTTTTCCCTAAAGAGTTAACACAATTTTAGTCTAAAATTTTCTATGAAAAAAAAGGAGATAAAATCATAAATTTAAGATAACTTATTTTGCTGCAAATAAAAATCAAAAATCGATCAATGTTTAGCAAATGGATTTTACTTTTTATCTATTATCATCTGTCAACAAAATCGGGTAATTAAAATGTATAGAATATTTTCTTCAAGGTCAATATTTTCAGCAAAAAACATGAAATGAGTAAGAGAAAATAAGTAATAATTTTATTTTTGTTGCAAAACAATTTATTCATCTTTTTGCGTTGAAATTTTCATCCTTTAACTGTCAAAATATTTACAAGTTATCAATCTTATAGATTTCATCCAACAATCCAAATAAATTCTGCCCAAAAGATGTGTCAATGAAGCCATGTTAGTAATTAATCTTACTTTTCCATTGATAAATTGTTCTATCTTAAAAGTACAGGTTCACTGATTTTTGGACTACAATTGAAGGAAATAGTATAATGAGGGAGGAGGGCAAGAGAAAGAAGTATCTAATCAAATTTAACAACCCTCCCCTCCCCCTCCCTTCCTGACACCTGCAATTCCGTTTGTTTTTTTTTTCGCTTCCTGTAAATATTAAATTGTATCATTATCAAAATTGTTATCATTGAAATTCTAAAACATAAATTCCTTTTCATCAAATTCAAATTTCTTTCTTTCGTTTAAAATGGATGTAATTATCAATTCTAATTGTTGCAATAAATTATTTCACGAAGAGATTTTATATAGCAAAGGTATAATTAAAAAATAATAAGTAATTAAAAAAAATAGAAATTAAATTAATTTGCTTATCAATAATTGAAATAATGAATGATAAAGGTATTTTTTTCAAATTTCAATTCATAAAAACAACTTACCTTTGCACAATTGTTCAATATAATTTTCATTGCGAATATTTAGTAATTGCTGAAAAAATTTCGAAGAAAAAACGATCCCGATTTATTATAAATTTCGATATGAAACAACGAAATATATATATATATATATATATCATTCTTCTTCTACTATTAAATGAAAGTTGCAAAAATAATCAGTTATGATAAGATGATAATATCCCAAGAATTATGCTTCTTAATACTTTCATTCATTCATTACTAATACTATTCTAATCTTAAGGTTAAATCGATATTAACATAAATTGATTTTAACGATGATAAATGATTATAATGATAATGATAATGATTACGATGACAATAATGATGAAAGCTAGTGTTGTTGGAAGTGTTGCTGTTCGAGTGTGAAAATTGTACGTTCGTTTTGCTGCTATCCTGCTCTTGCTTTCCCGGTGTGTAACGTATATGTTTGATATACATGTGAGTGATGTGTGTGTGTGTGTGTGTGTATGTGTATGTGTATGTGTGTGTGTTTCCACTACCGTAATACTGCATTCAGGAACATCAAAGAGAAAATGCCGACACCCGTTGTTTGTGATAAATTTCCCTTTTCCGAATGATACCACACATACGTATTACCCTATCCTATCAATTGCAGACAGACACTCAGGCATACAGACGTAGATATTTGTTTTTTTTTCAACTACTTTTACAAGTTGATGTAATATAATTTAGATGCCCTTATTTTTTTCCTTAATTAAAATCGAATTACATTTTTGAAATTTCAAATTTGTTTAAATGA